TTTTTTTTTTTTAATAGGATAGAAAGAAAGAAAAGACAAAGTAAGACTCCAAAATATAAGAAATATATACAAATAGAGCACACTTCAAAACACCCGGCCACTGTCTGTTCACCTGCAAAGAACATGACAAAACACAGCAACAAAATACATATGTATAAAGAACTTAAAATATTCATGGCTTTGCAGTAAGTTTCAATAAATATATATACCCATACCTACGCCTATATACATACATACATACATACATACACATGAATATACACTCACATACATATCTATATATCTACATATAAAGCCTACATAAACATCCCTGCTTCTATTTGTGTGTGATTGTGAGCATGCATAAGTGTATAAGGCTTCTCTAATAGAACATTTATTAGTAATTGTGAAGCAGCAGAGACCCGACCCCCAAGACCAGAGGCAGACGAAAAAGGGGGGGACCAGAGCCCAAGACCCCAGGAGGGACCCCGACCGCGGAGCCCCCAGAGCCACCCACACAGGGCGAACCACTCACCCACCCCCCAGAACGGACCACAGGGGAGAACCGGAAGATCACCACCAGCAACCACATACAGTGACCCCCCGGGGCCAACAGCGACAAACTCATAGGCCTCCGTCGGCACCCGCCGCACCGATGTAGGTCCAGGTCCAGGCACCGAGGCCCGGGCACCGAGGACTCACACCACCCAGGCCAAGGCCTGACAGGGCCAGAGGACCCGAGCCCCACCAGGCAGACACCAGGCCGAGCCGACACACGCCCAAGCGCCCAGCCCCCGATACCAAGGGCCCCAAGCGCGCCGGCAGGCAAGGGCACACCCCACCAGGGGGCCGCGCGATAGGGGCGCGATGCCAAGCACCCCCAGTTGTATCAAAGAGGGGGCAGTCCGAGTCTCGGCCTAACAAATACCCATTCATACACATACACAATCACACTATCCCAACCTCAATCTCACATTCATTCACTCAAAGACATACAATAACGATACATTTCATTCTTATTCCCGATACACACTCTATACCCCCCAGGTCCAAGACATGTACCCGCCCTCTACAGGGGGCAGCCCATGCCCAAACCCAGGAGGTAAACCCATTCATTCTTGAGCGGAGAAGAGCCAATACCCCAGACCCGGCCCAGGCCATGCCCCGCCGACAGGATACCCCCCCACCATGAAGAGGACACGCCACCGACCACCCCCACACACCGCCAACAACCAAGCACGCACCCCCAGCCGACCGCCCGCCAGGCCCCGGCAGCCACCCCGGCCAGCGGGCCAACCATGGCACCCAAGAGCCAAGCTCAGGGGGTCCAAACAACCCCAGGGAGAGCACAGCGCCAGCACCGCCCATGGCACCCCCCAGACCCTGAACCCCCACATAGTCCTGGTCAACACCCGACGGCCTGCCCTTCTCCCGGACCCCACCCCCGGAATGGCAGTCAGGGAACTAGGTGGGTAGGAAGAGGAGAAAAAAAAATAAAATAAAATAAATAAATAACTAAAGATAAGACCCCGACACATACACCCCCACCCCTAGATGTGCTGTTGATGTGTGTTGTTGTATAGTGCCATTAAAAAGGAAAGAAGAAGGAGGCAAGATAGAAGTTTAAAGATGGGAAAATGAAGGAGTTTAAATGGAGAGAAAATGGATGAGGGAAAAGTGTGTTGATAACGAACGGCACCCTCCTTTCGACCCAGCTCCCCTCGGTACACTTCGGTAGTGGAAATCGACTCTTTACCTTGCAGAAGATATCTCAGCTTCGGTGTAGAGTTCTCTTTCAACGTTACCATTTCAGCGTCTCCGTAGGATAGCAGAGAAATGTCCAGAGTAGTGACGGTACTTCGTTCAACAGCACGCTCACCTCCCGGGTGGACTCACATGAGCTGTGAGCCCGTCAGAGTTCCACTCAGATGTGGAAGATTCCATAATCCCCACGAGACTCGGAAGAACTCCCAACTAACTCCAGCCCTTCAGAACTTTCGTTCTGTTCTTCCCCAGAACTTCTGTTCTTCCCCAGAACTGACTGGAACTAGGAAGTGTCGACTTTTTAAAGAGTTCGCGTCCGGTCCCTTTTTGGGAAATCCTGATTGGTTGAAAGAACCAACAGGGGTGTGGTTTTAGTGACGTAAGAGGTTACTACAAGTCAGAAAAACAGTGAGATGTTTTTGGAACAGACAGAGAAATGTTTTTGGAACAGACAGAGAAATGTTTAGGCGAGATGACAGACCACAGGTGCCAGCTTCTTATTTCTGTCTGATAGGTTTAAAAACATGACAGTTCGTTCCAATAAACTTGTTTGCGACTGTCTCCGACTTTTGACCGACATCACTACTTCTCATTTCAGACGGAAGATCAAAAAATGCATGATTACTCTGTAACGGACATTAACTTGATTTCTACTTTGAATGAGGATTAAAAATCATTAATACTGTTTCACAGTTGATTTAAAATGAGTAGTTCACTTCAACGTTCAAAATGATTTGAACTAAACACACTTTTGGATTATCAAGACATTTGTAAAAATAGTAATGACAATAAAAAAGAGAGTGTTCTTTCAATTGATTAGTGCAGGACACACTTAGAAAGTCTCTGGATGAGCTTAATTTGTATTTCTGGACTCAAATCAATGAAATAACAGTTCCTGTCCCATGAAGGTCCTCAGGGTCAGGTTTTGACCTGAGGCTTAGTTCACTACAGTCCCCCCTTTGGAAATCATCGCCTGTCTAAGGGGATGAATTCCAACATGAATTTACGCCTCGGAATGTCCTTGAGCTTGATGTAATCCAGCAAGAGGAAAACAAAAGTCAAAGAAGGTAATCCCACAACGGTTTAGGTAATTCCATAATGTTGTTGGTAATTCCATAATGTTGTTGGTAATTCCATTGTAGCAATGCTTTAACCCCTTGGAAACAAAGTCTGTAATCCATTGGAAAAAGTCATATAATCCACAACGATAAATCCACAACGAATGGAGGTGTTGATTGATCAGCATACAGAGGGGTTCCCTTGATTGAACCACAGATGCGGCCACTGGATGCAGGTTGGAGACCAACGTCAGGATTGTAGGTCTCCTCCAGCGAAGGTCGTCACTGGGTGACGTCCAGTCGGTGCCGTTCTAGTTCTATGTGTCATGTAATTATGTGGTTTAAGGTGGGCTTATGAAGGGGATTTTACATAAGGCCTTAACCTATATGCACCTGGTGTGTAAGCTATTATGATTGGGAACAGCTACAGCTACCAGTTAAGGGGTGGAACATGCTGAAAAGGGTAGTTATAGGGGTCTATACCTATAGAAGGGTGTTCCAACTATACCACCATCGCTAACTTTGTCTATGTTAGACTTACATGGCCACTATAGTTGGTTTACTTGTCTGTTGCCTTTTAGACGAACGACTTGAGATTGGGTGTTTGGTTTTCCCATAAATGTTTTTGGAGTCTATGGCGAGACTCATCAAAAAGAATTAGCTATCCCCCCGAATAGAATTGTTCGAGTAGGTTCGGCTTGAAGATGGTGAGACCAATGTAAGTTATGGTACTTAAGGTAGCATTGACTACATTGACTCTTCAACGATTAGGTTTTAACGAGTGAACTGCATGTTGGCATAGTTAAAGTCCTTTACAGTCTCCATCTAAAATACATACAAAACTCATTCTTACCTCAGAAACAAATATCAAAACCAAATAAACGATGTCTCAACATCGACAAGAGTAGTGACTAAGCAACTAGAAACATGTTTCACTGCTTCACCTCACCCTGGTTGTCAGATTCAATCACGTTATCGCGTCTGGTAACATTACCCTAACTGACGTCACCCCCCTTCGGTCATGGGGGACCGCGAACACGGGTGAGGATGTCGCTCCATGAGCTAAAGTTAGGTTGTCCTTGAGTAGTTTTAACTGTTTGCGCAGCTGAAAGTGGACTTTAAGGTCTGGATTGGAATCCAGTTCGCCTTTCGATGGAGTGTATTTGTCTGGGTCAGTCAGATACAGTATCATCGAGTTAATTGCAGGATCCAACTTCTGAAGTTGGATGATGTCTGGGTCAGATGAAAATGACTTTTCATATTTTAAAAGAACTTGGCGAAGTTTGTCCCTTTCTTCATCAGATGTCAGAGAGTCGGCTTGGGCGACCACCTGATCAATCTGTGATGAGACTGATAAGGGTTCTTGCTCTTTGGGGAGCTCCAACGAATCCCTTTCTGAGTCGTCGGACCTGTCTATGGGTAAGACACCATAGGTTTGAGGTCCTTGGTCGACGTCATCGGTTGAAAAAAGAGCTATGGCCTGTGTTGGTTTTGTGAACCATACTGGCCCAGCTTCTTGACTTGGTACCAGGTTATCTGGGAGTCCTCCCAGAAATGGAATGCCTAGTTCAAAATCATGAAAATCAGTGGAAATCAACCATCCTAGCATAGTGTTTTTTGGGATCATCACCTCATCCATGCCTGTGTTACACACAGCAACAGATGTGGTCCTGGAGTCAAGGCTCACTTGGTTCATGGCTTCCACGGACAGTCCCAAGTTGAAAAACGCAGGAAAAGGTTGAAAATATGCCTGTTTATGGCTAATAGCTTGTCCAGCTACGATGTGGATTCGCATTATTAGGTTAATCACCTGAGGTGGTACTGTGGTGGTTTGGTTGTTAGCGACCTGGCAGGCCTCTGGAATGGTCTGCCCAGCCTTAAGGTTTGCTGTGTCTAGCACAGGAGGATCCTTTGTGGCTGGTTTTAGAGACCACAGCACCTTGTTGATGGTGTCCACATGGACACCCAACCTTACCAGATTATTTTACTGAACACAATGTACAGTAGATAAGAAAACATGTCTAGAACAGCTCAGGTGTTTGTGTCAAATAGCTCATTACAAATCAGGCAGTATTTTTTTAAACAACTGCTTTATCAATAAGAGCGTCTGTTTTTGTCTGAGGGAAGCTGTGAAGAACGTTTATTCCAAGATAACTGATGTTCTTTATCAAACATGTTTCCCCTCTGTTGTCGTCTCAGGGTCGTAACCTGGCCGACCTGCGGAGGAGTCAGCCTCGGGGAACCTTCACTATGAGCACCACCCTGAGGCTGGGCAAACAGATCCTGGAGTCCATCGAAGCCATCCACTCAGTGGGTTTCCTGCACCGTGACATAAAACCGGTATGATAAGAAAAATCTGTTATCTCATGTTTTAAATGTAAAAATCTCCACTTGTTCTGATGTCATATCATCAGTGCAAAACATTTCATTATTATTAGCAGATTTTCTTGTATAAGACATATCTTGTAGAGAAAAAAAGTCTCATTTCCTGAAGGCTAACTTGGAGTGATCTTATCCACTGCATTCATAAATAGTTGTTAGTTTATTCACATTTCTTTAATAAGAGCAAAACCATGAAGTATTAAATTTTTATGTAGATGAGGAATAGGGAAAATCAAAATAAAACATTTTATACTGACTATTTTGATCAGTTTTAGCTTTTGAAATTTTGCATCATAAATATTTTATTATTTTCATATATATATATATATATATATATATATATATATATATATA